AATGCCACCACATTAAGGCACCTGAAATTATAATTAGTGTGTTGTTGCATCTTTTTGGACATTATGTGTTCATGGTATGCACTCAGGAGGAGCATTAATAGACAAATCATATTAAATTGAAATTAGAGTTTCAGCAACAACAAAAGCAGCAAAAAATAAACACTCTTTCTCCACACGTATATACCGTCACACAAAAACAATGGATATAATTATGAACTTTCAGAAAAACTGAAACCAGAACAAGAATTAGGGATTCAAACACTATTAAATCCTCTGAGCATTCCTTCAATTCAACATGCAATTTACATCAAATTGAAAAGGCGAAAACATAAAAATTCATTGAACTGGTTAAGAATTTTTAGTTATTAATCACAAGAGTAAAACTTTTTTTTTTAAAAACTTGAAAAGAGTAAGAAAAATCAATTTGATAGCAGCAGTTAACGTTTCGAAATATAACTTTAAACTTTCAAAGTCTAACCAGAAAGCATATACTCATGAACTTGTGAGTGCCTGCTGACTATTATGCTATAACAATTTCTGTTTAATGCGAAATAATTCAGAGAAAAGGATGATTCGGCTCAATTGCATAAACCTAGGAACAGCAGTCGAATGTAACCCAACCTGCTTTTTGTCGAAATAAACCTGGGATGCAGCATATACAAGCTTGAAGATTTCTTGTTACCTTCCATTGTCCTTTTCTTCAAAACCCAAGTATTTTTCTTCCAATCAGAATCATATTTCTCTCGAACTCTAAGCTGTTCAGCAATTTTGATAAAAGAAAATGAAAGACAAAGTATGAACCAAAAAGAGGCCACCATTAGATTTGAAGGCAGGTTCAGAACTCCAAGGGAAAGGGAATAGCCTGTAAAAGGCATTTTTGTCCAAAAAAATTTTAGTTTTTCGTGAATTACATTTTTCAATTATCTTTTTATTTTATGTATATCAAATCACTATAATACAATTTTTTTTTTTTTACAAAACTCCAGAAAATAACAATCCAAACAGCCTCTAAAAGTCCACTCACCAAATTTTCAGGTCCACCTAAACTGACCACAAGCATTTTTTCATGTACAACGTATGTGCATGGGGAAAACACCCAAAAAAGATTTATGCCAACAATCCATCTCCGTTTTAAAATAAAAAATGGGAAAAATGGTGGGCAAGTGTAATATGGTGAAAAAGAATAGATGTTGCGCAACAAAATCAAATTGTTGTTGGAGGTCAAAGATTGTCACCGAAAACCTCAAATCCAGAAAGGCCCCAAGAGCAATATTCATCATGTAACATTGTAACTCTCTCATTTATAAGTTAACGAATGATAGCTTATGCTACAAAAGAAAAAAAAATCTTATGCATTTTTTTGTTTGAAGAGAATAAAATGAAAAGCCAGGATTAGAATTTAGAATTCAAACATAATTAAGAGTTTTAATCATTGCTTACATTCAACAAGCAATTTACATGAAAGTGACAAGGCCAAATGCCAAAAGAAAAAAAATTCACTAAACGGATAAAAAATTTGTCGGGAAGTAGCCGTTAAAGTCTCAATATAGGAATTCAAAATTTTCACAATGTAACACATTTGCGAGCCTGTGCTGGCATTTTTGCTGGCTGGCTGGCGAAGAATCGAATTGCAAACTGATTGCAAAGCCGCCATTGAGACAATATGCAAGACAGGCTTGGGTGAAACACCAATTGGCACGATCATAGAAGATATTAGACATTTGAGGGACATGTTCCAAGATTGTACTTTTTCTTTTGTGTATAGAGATGGAAATAGAAGTGCTCATAAAATGGCACAATTTGCAACTAAACTTGTTTCCAAGGTAATTTGGAAACAAAGTTTCCCCCTGTGGCTCAAAGAGAGTATACAGGAGGATAATAGGACTAATGTCCCTTTATGTAACTAAGATCTTGTATTATCAAGTTCATATATGTATAACAAGAATACCGTTTGGGGAAAAAAAAAAGTGCTGGCATTTTTGCGGGATCTCTGATTACAAATCATGAATTAGAAATATTTTTCATCAATTTCTTCCACTCTTAACTTGTATCAGGTTAGGGCCAAAAAATAAAAAAATGGGATAATTTCAGAAACCTCCCCTGAGTTTTTTGATAATTTCATGTGGCTCCCTTAAGGTTTCAAAAATTACACCTACCTCCCTTACTCATTTAAAATGACAATACTAACCTTAATATTTTAATAAAACTCTCTTGTTTCCATGTCTATACAAAGGATGGGTTTTATAATTTTTTCTTTTTCTTTCTTATTCATTTCTCTTATATTTCATTAGAAGTATAGAAGAACTATTAATATTGTCGCTAAAATCTATTCAGGTCAAACGTTAAACTATTATTTTTTATGACTTTTAATATCATCCAATTCTTTTATAGCTCTTTTTTTATATCAAAATCAAGAATAAATCAACAATAATTAAAAACAAATGGCTCAAAATCACTACCAAACTATGGTAGTTCCATCACTAAACTAGTCCATAAACTTTTATTAAAAAAAGTTCATAAATTTAAAAAACACAAGGTAATACTTTCTTCTCCATCTTAAAAAGAATCTATATTCCCAATAAAGCACTATAAAAAATAATTTATCATAGCAAAAGATTTATTGTTATAGTTAATTATTAAATAACAAATATTGACATGACAAACTTGTGACTCCTATTTTTTATATAATTGTGTCAAATTACTTTACAATTGTTTAGAAGAATGAATTGAACTTTATAAGATAAAGGCATTTTAGGATATTTATTAAATTTTTTACCTTATTTTAAGGTTTGGTTACCGAAGTGTCAAATCAACGAGGTAAGTGTAATTATAAAAACTTCAAGGGAACTAAGTGAAATAGTCAGAAACTTCTGGGGAGGTGTCTAAAATTATCCCTAAAAAATTTATATAAATAGCATGACTAATTAAATTTGGTCTTGACTTTCAAGTATATTAAGGATCCACTCATGCACCATTTACTCTTTCTCCCATTCCCAAACAATTCACATCTCCCTGAGCCCACCCCCTGCCGCCGCTCGTCATAAGTCTGCAGGTATTCATCCTCTTCTACATGGGAATTTTTCTTAAGGAAAGAGATTAATCACAAAAAAGAAATATCCAGTCTGGCATTGGATTGGTGCGAATGTCTCAATTTTATTTAAATGTTGCAGTTGAATTTCTTGATTTTTTAAGATTCCACCTCGATTGTACTTAGGTTGCCTGCATGCCATTCCCATTTGGTAAGATTAGAATTGATTTTTAGGATTTTATCTTGATTGTTTAGGGGTTACAGACTTATATGACAAAATCCTAATTCACATAAGTTGTGCATGTATTGGATTCCGATTGAAATCCAATTCCCACTGTTTGAAATACATTTCTGCGCATGATTTTTTCATAGGATCTATTTATCTTCATCTGTTTGTGATTGTTTCTGCACATGATTTCTTATAGGATCTATTTATCTTCATCTGTTATGTTGATGTTTGTTATGTTGATCATCGTGGCAGAGAATCATGGTTTTGCTAAATTAAGACTCCTGTTTCATTTCTTCAAACACATTTTTTAAGCCAAGTTTTACTTGTTCATTTTTTTTCCCTCCATTTTTTCCCCTGTCATCATGCTGTAATCTGTAACTGTACCTGTACTAGTATAATTCTCGGTGTTGTTTTGGGAGTTTCACCGCAGAAGAATTGAAGAGGAGAAATGGAGGGATTTCTAAAGATCCTTTGTCAGAGAATAAATAATTTATTTGTTTATTTTTGTCGAGCCTTTGAAAAATGCGGGAAAAAAGATCGTTAGTTTAAACTTGCAGATTTCCCAACTTTGCCCTTGCGGAACTATTGGAATATGGCACAAAATAAAGTGAAAAACCAGTAACTTCTTTTCTTTTCACGGCCAAAATAACGAAAGGAACTTGAATTTGTTCTCTATCCTAAATGACCTAATTAAGCTCCCAACTAGATGAATTTTGATTAGATGGGAAGGGGAAATGCACAATTAACAAACCAACAAATGAATAGTGGTATAGATTGACATCTAATGACGTAGTTTTTCTAATTTTTGAATAATCATAAATAATTGTAAAAAATCAGTTTACATTCTTGAAAAATGACTAGTGATAAGGGCACACCCAATGTGTGTAATTTAGGAACAATTATTTTTTATATGAAAGAATTTAGTATAGAATTTTCATAAACAAAAAAAATAAACTTCAATCGTTTAAAAATTTTTTGAATGGAATTTTAATTAATTTGGTGGTTACAATATTTGTAAATTGTTATGGGTGAAAGTTAGTGCGATTGCATTGGTTGGTAATATGGGTAATATGTAATTAGATGGTAAAGTTATAATTTAATGATTGTGAAAAGTTAAAAATCTAAAAAGTGACAAAAAAAGTTTACAGCAAATTCAATGCTCTTCCTTTGTACATAATATATAGTATAGATAGATAGTTTCGGCATTTACACGATTATCCAAGTCGTAATTGTGCCATTCTACACTACTATTCCGACTAGATGTGAATAATTTTATTTTTTAGAACACTTTTCTTGCTTTGATTTCAACTTTGCTTTTTTTTTTTTGAAGAAAAAAAAAGTATATCTAAGCTTGAATTTTGAAGATCTTATTCTAACGTTATTCTTACTAATGCAGGAAGTGTTACTAAGGTTTCTTTTGATATTTGTCCATCATGGAACCAGGTAGTCTTTACGAATTCACTAAGTTCTTCAATCAGTGCCAGTTCATTACCCTTAGACACGGACTACTAATGGACTCTCATTAATTTCATTTTGCTGGTCATTGACAGGAAACGAGGTGCAACCTAAGACAACTCGGAAGGATGCGAACCTCAATCACTTCTCCCGACTGTCTGATTCAATCATTTATCACATCTGTTCGTTTTTGCCCACCCGAGATGTTGCCTGTACCTCCATCCTGTCCAAGTCCGGTATCGTATCTGGACCCTTTATTCATTTGTTGTCTACCATTTTATCTGCACTATGTGGGGCCAGGACGAAGAACAAAAAGAAAAAGGAGTAGGACGGGTTCAAGAATGTGGTAGAGAGGTTCCTGGTCCAACGTTTGAATGTACTGGCAGCGGCAATAGAAAGGACGATTTCCTGTCAATGGCAGGAAAATTCATCAGACGGCGCTTTATAGAAAACTTAAATATACAGAGATTCCAATTGTACATTGACTTCCCTAAGATGGGCTCACTGGCTCGAAGATTGGATATATGGATTGATTATGCAATGATGAGGGCTGTGCCGGAGCTTGTTCTTCGCATTGACTGCTTAACCAGTGATACACATGTTGGTCACCGCATTAACGCTTTATCAAGTCATCAAAGGCTCCATTATGCTATACCTCAATTTGCTGTTGAAGCTACGTGGCTAAAAATTTTGGGGTTTAGTGGCTGTAGATATGCGACTTGTTTGGACATCAAACTTCCCCAGCTGCTGAGCCTTTTATTATGTCATTCCTGCTTTGATGATAAGTCTCCATTGGAAAGGTTTCTCCTTGGATGCCCACTGGTTGAGAATGTGAAGATATCAGGCTGCAATTGGATGGACAAACTTCTCTCTGTCCCGAACTTACCTGAATTGAAGCATTTTGAGTGTTTGTTCTGTGATATGGTTGATATTATTCAAATCAATGCAGCTAAGCTTCGTACTTTCTCATTTGCGACATTGAAGGAAGTCAAAGAACTTTGGCCAATGACCATTGACTGGACAGCCTGTGCTACAGCACTGAAGGAGTTGAAAATATATGTGAATGGTGCCGCTGACATTGATATGTTAGAGACACCGATATCTCAGCTTCTCTTTCTTGAAACATTGGATATACGGGGCTGCAAAAGTTATGCGGGTTTCAAGATCTCAAACCAAACTCTTAAGAGATTGATCTTTAGAGATTGCAGTCACATGTCAGCTACTCAACTTGATGCTCCAAAGTTAGAGTTGCTTGAATTCAACAACTGCGATAAACCTTTTCTTCCTTGCAATGCCTCGAATAAACTTCAGATTAACTTTAGTTTGTTCTTTTGGGGACATTCAATTGAGTGGCTTTTGCGATTGAAGTATTTTCTCAGGACGTTAAAGCATTGGGAAGATGTGAAACTGATCGTCTATCCTGAACATCAGGTACTACACTTCTTTCTTAACCACTTAGCTAAGGTTTTATGAAATTTTTTTTGTTGCTTTACCTGGTTAGAGAGTTATATGTGATGCTATTCGACAATGGACGTAAAAATCTTAAAATTATTTACTCCCCTTGTCACGCCCCATGCCCGCACGTGCCAGTCATGTGACATCCCCGTATCTTCAAGTCTCGCTAAAAAATACAAGACAATATCATACTATACTAAACTTTAAAAGTATTAAATAATACAACTAGATAAAGTGCGGTACAAATCTCATATGAAGGATAGTCTACGAATATCCAATAAGTTCGTACATTTATTCTCTGGTTGAAACAACGGAAACAAAAGTAAATAAAACTAACAACTAGAAGTAGCTAGCTTGCTAACTTCTGTTCACTTAGAAACTAATAAAAGTCGTTCTCAGGGTCTTCTACGTAAATCAACTTATACTCTTCAGAATCTGTAAAGATGGCAAAAAAGTGGGTTGAACGACAAGTCGCTCAGTAGGTAATATCTATCCCTCTGTTGGACCATGCATTTATAACTTTATAAGTACACACACACACACACATACATAAATCAAATCATTTGCACACCGTTCACATCTATAATCATGAAAGTAATGTTGTTTATAAAACAAACAGTAGTAACGAGTGACAAGCAATTTAAAAGCATTTTATTGATAACTATATATGAAAAATCATAAAGTCATAATCATTTTATATCAATTCATAAGTCTCTTCATATCAGTTCATAAATCATTTCATATCAGCTTATAACAAATACATGTGATGAGCGGCTACTGAGTACTCAATCTAGAGATTAAACCCCTTCTAGGTGGGTGACCAATAGGTTTCATGACTATTGATTGGTCTCATTACATACATGGTTAATCGGCCGGACTTTATACCAGACTACCATGACCTTGTCAATCGACCGAACTCTATACCAGACTATCATGACCATTAGACAGGACTATAGCCCATACCGTCTATTCCATAACTGTTTTAAGTTTTTCTTGACATAATTTCACACGTCACGCGCACAGTTCTTGATTTCATAAAAGATACAGCTCATTTGGTATATAATAACATATCAAGAAATTTTAAATAAGTCGCATGGTCCATTTTTTTGTATAGTCAAAATAGAACTTGCTCAAACAGTCAAGTAAATCATTTAATCAAAAACAATTCAGATTAACACATAAAAATATAATTGATGACAAAAATTTTACTTTAAACATTTGAAATCTCAGAAGGGTAAGTACCACCTACCTTTGTCTGGCTGCTCGAGTGGAACTACCTTAGGCCTTTTAAACTTGTGTTGTACAGGTCTAGGTGCTTAGTTGTTTGCTTGTTCGACGACGACATCTTCTCCTTCTCCTCTATTCTTAGTCGATTCTTGCTCTAAGGGAGGCAGACAAGGGAAAGGTAGGAATAGTGTTATTTTTCTCTCTATTATTTTGATAAAAATCCTAAACCCTAGCACTTCCCACTAGAAGGTGGTTTAGATAAGAGTCTTAATTTATTATGAACTCTTATCCTACCTTATCTCCTTACTAACCCTAATTACTCCTCTACCCTATCCTACTAATAAATTTATATTATTATTTTTTTTCGTCCATAGTAATTTTGCCTTTTTAATTAATTGAGCAAAATAAACTAAAAAAATAGGCAAGGACGTGGGTTTTTGCATTCTACCCCCCTCACAAAAAGTTTCGTCCTTGAAACTTACGTACTTTGATAAAAAAGATAGGTGTATCTATCTTGCATGTCCTTCTCCAACTCCCACGTTGCCTCTTACGGTGTATGATTCGTCCATTACACCTTAACGTAGGGTATAGTCCTTCTCCTTAAAACTTGGTCCTGCCGGTCCACGATTCTTAAAGAAACTTCCTCCACTGATAAGTTCTCCCTCACCTCGATGGGTTGATCCTCTAAAATATAGGTCGGATCCAATACATACTTCCTCAGTTGGGAGACATGAAAAATATTATGTATCATTGACAAAGCAGGTGGGAGAGCCAATCGATACGCTAGAGGTCCAACTCTATCCAATATTTCGTAAGGCCCTACATACCTCGGATTTAACTTGCCATTTCTTCCAAATCTCATCACTCCCTTGGTAGGGGATACTTTCAAATATATCTTTTCTCCCGATTGAAACGCTAAAGGTCTCCTCTTGGAATCCACCCAACTCTTGTTTCAGTCCTAAGCTATTTTTAATCTTTCTCAAATAATCTTAATTTTCTCCAAAGTTATTTCTACCAAATCGGAGCCAGTGATCAGCTTTTCATTTATTTCATCCCAATATAAGGGGGATCTACACTTTCATCCATACAACGCTCCAAACGGTACCATACCTATATCACTATGATAGCTATTATTGTACGAGAACTCCATTAGTTTCACCAACCTATCCCAACTATTCGAGAAGTCTAGAGCACAAGCTCTGAGCATGTCTTCCAGTGTTTGTATGGTCCTTTTCGATTGTCCATCCGTTTGAGGTTGGTAGGCGATACTTAATCTCAGGTCAGTCCCCATAACTTCTTGATAGGTCGACAAAAATCTAGACGTGAATCTAGAGTCTCAATTAGACACTATACTTATTGGAACACCATGAAAACATATGATTTCCTCCATATACATCTCTACCAACCTCTCCATTGTTGCCCCATTCGACATTGATAGAAAGTGGACAGATTTGGTTAGCCGATTGACTATAACCAAATGGCATCGTTATTCCTAATCGTTCGAGGCAATCCTACCACAAAATCCATTGCCACATGTTCCCACTTCCATTGGAGAATTTCCAGGGGTTGTAATAAGCCAGTAGGTCTTTGATACTCGGCCTTTACTTGTTGGCATACCAGATATCTCGCTACATATTTCGCTATTTCTCGTTTCATCCCATTCCACCAATAATTCCTCTTCAAATCTTGGTACATTTTAGTTCCACCAGGTGAATTGAGAATCTCGAATTGTGTGCCTCCTTTAGCAATTCTTGCTTCAATCTTTCATTCCTTAGTACATATAATCTACCATCTTTCTATAAACTTCCATTGTCTTTCAATTCCCTATCGAAGGGTTCCACTCTAAGTTTTTCTTTAATCTTTGCAAACCCATCATCAGAATGTCGTGCTTCTTTAATCCTATCTATTAAAGTAGGTGTGACCACTAAGGCAGCTAACATTTGAACCGTAGAGTCCACTATTTTCACTTCAAAATTCTTCATTTGATCCTTTACCGTGGGTTGTCTTAATACCCTTGACTTCCTACTGAGGGCGTCTACTACCTTGTTTGTCTTGCTCGGATGGTAACTGATTGTCAAATCATAATCCTTAATTAATTCTAATCACTTTCTCTGCCGCATGTTAAATTTTCTTTGAGTAAATTGATACTTGAGACTCTTGTGATCGGTGAAAATCTTACATTGTACGCCATATAAGTAATGCCTCCATATTTTCAACGCAAACACTATTGCCGTCAATTCCAAATCATGGGTGGGATAATTCTGCGCGTACAGTTTTAGTTGGCGGGAAGTATAAGCAATTACTCTCCTATTTTGCATCAAAACGCATTCTAAACCATTTTTAGAGGCATCACTATAAATCACAAATCCTTTCGTTCCAGAGGGTAGGGTAAATACTGGAGCTGACATTAGTTTCTTCTTTAACCTCTAGAAACTCGTTTCACATTTATCTGTCCATTCAAATTTTGCTCTCTTTTGAGTCAACCTAGTAAGAGGCATAGTAATGGTAGAGAATCCTTCTACAAATTTTCGATAATAGCCGGTTAATCCTAAGAAATTCCTCACTTTGGTTACATTAGTGGGCCGTGGCCGGTCTACAATTGCTTCCACCTTCTTTGGATCAGCGGACACCCCTTGAACTGATATCACATGTCCTAAGAAGGCCACACTCTTCAACCAAAATTTACATTTACTAAACTTAGCGTACAATTTCTCTCTTCTTAGTATCTCTAGGACTTCCTTAAGGTGGGCAGCATTGTGAGGACCTGAAAATTTTCTTATTTTTATATAATATTACTGGAATATTTAAAAGATTATTCACTCATTTTCTTCGAATTATTTATTTCGACCATTTTAAATTCATTTATATGAAATGACGCCTCTTTATAATTTTAAAACATTTTGTTGGAAAATTCACTTTTCAGAAATTCGTTTAGTTCGAAATAACAAGTACACGTTTTCGAGGCTATACTTGAATCAGGAGTGTATTAATATTGGAGAATTAAAGATGATCAATAATAGATTAAGAAAGATTAATTGAGGAATTAATACTAGACTCCTGTGAGGACTCGCGAAATTTATTATTTTAAATTCCTATTTTCGAGCTCATTTGTATATTTAATTGCCCATTTATTTCGAATAATATTTTCTAGCCTTATTAGACCTAAGTACATGGTTTTATAGTTTCGTTATATTTTTAAAGCGCCTCATTTCAAAAATTATTTTCTTAAAAACTTGATTAGCGAAAAAATGAAAACGTGTCTAAACACTTTAGCCAATTGGGAGTACAATAAGCTCAAAAATTTGAGACATATACAATGGTCCTAAAATAGGCAATTTTAGGTTTAAGTACTCAAGTGATAACTAGTGGTACGATTGTTATAAGAATTTCTCAAAGGTTTTAATTTTTATTGCGCCTAAATTAGAAATACGTGTTTTCACGTGCGCGCTTAATTGAGGGACTTTGGACCATTATTTTGGGACAATTAAGAATGAATAATATTTATATGAATGTAAGGGCCCTAGAGGTTTAGTGCACTAGTGCAACAAACGTAAGAGAAATCGGACACAAAACGCGCGCGTAGGGCACTAGTTATAATTGATTTGACGTATTTAATATAATAGACGTCAAGCGTCTTTCGTACGCAAAGGAAACCAGAAACCGCATTTCCTTTCCTTCTAGCTTCATGGTCGGCCAGTTGCTGCAGAGGAAACAACCGAAAACTTCTCAAACATTTCCTCTACAAACTTCACCTCAAAAATCTTGCCAAACCTTCATAGATTCACCACACA